GATAAGAATCGGATAAGATTCTTAGGAAAAGCAGACAAGAAGCTGGCAAGATCCTTACCAGATTCCCGTCCAATTCTTATATAAGAATTGACGACTAGGGTAGTTTTAGTAAATCGTGAATTACTCTGTAATCAAAAGAAAAGCGGTACTAACTTTACGTTTTGCGCTAATATCTTATCTGTGCATTTAGTCCTCTTCTGACATAAACAAAATGAAAATGAATAAACTTGACTGTGGAGGGCTAGGATGGTCTCTGGAGAAAATAAGTGAACCTTTCTAGACTACATGTTGAGAGTAGATTTGTAAATAGATTGTTAAGTGGAATCAGAAGTGATAATACATTTGATAGAGCGTGAAGACTTTGAAATGAGGCACAGTTGGAACAGTGGGTGCTATTATAGGGCAAGGAAGGGTGAAAACTTCATTTAAAAAAATGAGACGCACTTGAACTACAACAAAAAAAACGACGTTTTATTTATTACTCGTGCCTAACCATATTTTCAGTGCATACATTCATAATATGACTGAGAATATGTAAAAAGAGTGGAAGTTTTTTTATCAACTCCAAGACGTGAAGAGTCTGAAACGGCAGCATATGTATAACAATCCCTCATGTGTATATCAACTTTCTACCAACTGTATGGTGCTTTCAGGGCTAGTAGAACTCATCACGGTGATCACAAAAATCATCTTAAAAACTTTTCAAAATGACCGCATGGTGACTCCCCGACGAGGCCCCCGAAAGACTTTTCAGCAACACTGTTTCTGTTATAACTTTGTCATTTCAAAAGATGAAAAGTTCAGACTGCTTTTACAAATACTACTCACCAATATGAACATCTTTTGTAGCAAAAGATTTTTCTCCAGTGTTCTGGCTGTTTAAGAAAAATTATATAAAAACGCGATCGTTGATGCTTTTCCCATTCAAATATTTCTACAAAGACAAAATGAAACTTAACACCAATGTATGATTCAGGATCCCCAATCTTTTGTCTGTCTAATGGTGAAAACCACAGGACTTCAGCTGTTTTCTGAACTGAAGAAACAGTTCTCCCAGCGCTACATGACCTGTCTTTACAAAGTTATAGAATTTACAAGAAAAGCTCTAAATGTTCATTGTCAGCTCAAAGCTATAGAAATAAGGAAAAAATTGGTTTAGGGCTTTTCTTATAAACTCTATAACTTTGCAAAGAAAAGTCATGTAGAACTGAGAGATGTCTCATTTTAATCCGAAATTTGCGGGCTACAATCATGCATTATTAAGAAAGGTTTTGGATATGTTTTAGAGTTTCTGAAAAACTGGTTCTCCAGAAAATGGATCTTTGGAGGCCTAACTGCCCGTCTCATATTGATATTCGGAATCAGCATGGTTGATTACCTATCACCCACTAGGTTTCGTCTCAAAAGCGATTGAACAGTCGGTGGACCTCCCTCGTCAGAAATGATTTTTTTTCTTTCTCGAAAGTCTTTCCTTTCCGCTTTATAGCAAAAACAAAGAAGAAAAACGCAATAGACTTCTTCATCTTTATGAAAATGCGAACTTTTTATTACTTTTGGTTTAGTTTTGGAAGCGACTTCACGAAGAGCCCAAAATTGATGGAGTTGTCCACATGTCCACGTCATAGTCCAAAGTCCGTTTCTCCCATCGTAAACGAATTTCTACAATTGTGATCATTAAGCGAGAAGCGAACGAATGTCTTTTGGTGGCAATGACATTGACCAGATTTATTTTTTGTTTAGTTTTCTAACAGACAAGTGCCTCAGAGCAGGAAGACTGACGTGAGGTAAGACAAATAAACATCAAGACTTCTTGGTTTACAGCGCCACTTTTTGTCAGATATTGTAATATATATAATGATGATATGAGGGCCTGAAGTTGGAGGGGATTGGTAACAACTTTTTTCTTAGAAATATTCTGGAATTTCAAAACAATTATCGTTGCACCGCTATCTTCATCTGAAAACCATGTGATGAAAAGAAAAACTTTATTTGTTCCCAATATTTAAGAAACGAAAGATTTTCACATGAAGAGTATGACATTCTTGGCTTAAAGTCGCATTTTCACCCTACGGAAAACACTAATCGTAAAAATAATTTTTGCCGCCATTGTAAGCTTCCCACAGAAGCTTTTTTCCTCTATTTATAGCATTATAACGTTATAAAACATGCTTTTTCTTAAATTATGGTATTACAATGCCATAGATTTATCGCATTACAACGTAATAGACGTAGCCCGTCCTGTTATAACGCGTTGTAAAGTTGCTTTTTCGGAATTTATGGCGTTGTAAGTAGATCAAAATTTTCATTGCATTACAACTCTATAATTTTACAGCCTTGTGTTTCAATTTTTTATCTGGTTACAACGCAATTAGATTTGTCTATCGCCTTATAATATGTTAGATTCTAATGGATTATATGGGTGAATGCGTTACCTGTGGACAGACCGTATACAGTAATGTGTAGCGGGATGTTTCTGGCTCATTTATGACGTTTTATAGTTTATCTCGATCGAATCTAGCACCTGTTCTTACACCTAATTACATTTTGGATGCTTCTTACCTACAGTCCGGTCTCACGACCGATATCCCGAACGGGATATCACAGAAAATTTATATCCTGATCGGGATATTTTTGCAAAACATTTTGGAAAAAATCATTACCGCAAAAATCGTGACGTTATTGCACAAAAGTGAATATAGCATAAGAAAGCGGATGAAAAACTGAGTCGGAATCAAAGGTGCTCTAGTCTTGGTTTAAGGGTCTACCGTTCACGATTTTTTAAATTCCAATGGGAATATACAAAATAGCCTGATCGGGATATTATCTCATTCGGTATATATGCATAAATAGTTCGATGCTTTGTTGAGTAGCTTATAAAGGAGTCCAGTTCGTAGTAATCTATTGGCTCCGCCTGCTCCAGTCCTGTTCAGTGTTATAGATAATAAATGCGACAAAACAATCGAAAGATGTTAAATTAACATATTTTTCGGTGTATTTTGGACTATATAAATCGACGATATCTGCTTTTTCTGCGATAAAATGCCAAAACGGTGCATCATCACAGCAAATGTGGTAATCGTTTACACTCAGAGTGGTATGATGATTTAGAGTATTCTCTTTTGTTGACCGATAAGCGTTCGGTCAATAGCAAGGTGCTGATCATTTTGAGTGAAAATGATTATTTTATTAGCAAAAAATGTAAATTTGTTTGTAATTTATGTGTAAAGAAGATAGAAGTTGATTTTTTGGACCAAGAGCCACCAAATGCTAAGCGTCAGAAACTCAGTTCAGAAACATTGTCTAATGCTCTGGATATAACCTATGAATGTCAAAATGTCTCTTGTCAAACAACGTCGAAATCGTTACTGAATTTTTCTATTGAACAAGTATGTGAAGCGTTGAAGACTCGTGCGTTAACCGATGATCAAGAAATGTTATTATATGATGCCTTGGCTAAAAATTTAGAAGAAAAATGTAAGAACAATAATAAAAACATGTTATTATACAACAATTCTCCAACTACATTAATGACATTAGATGTGACAATTGCTTTCAAATATATTCCACCATGCGTGGTTAAGCCATTCCAACATCTATTACCATGTGAAAATGTAACTAACAACCTTGACGATAAGACTCCATTCACAATAATCGTTACAAAATCTGCAAGCTGTATGAACAAATGCATTCTGCTTCTCATAATAATTGTATTTTACCATTCTCGTTTAATGAAGCCTTGCTTGTTTATCTTCTAACTGGTAGTAAACTCGCTGTAAAAATCTTACAATCGAGTAATCCATGTGGTAGTTATTAAACTATTAATAGATGGTATAAAAGACGAGGTAGTTCACAACTTAAAGTACCGGCAGGAGACATTGAGAGTGCTTTTGACAACAATCAAATTCTCGGGAAGACGTATAATATTACTGATGACAAACAGTTATTAAGCATAAGTACAACGGTGATTCATGCTATTATTAATAAATCAATGGTTATTCAGTGTCAGGATTATCAGCTAGATCAATGGTGTACAGAAAAGAAAATTGGAAACGAGTGTGCTAAATTAACAAAGAGTATTGATGATGTTGAGAAAAGGGGAAAACCCGTAATGCAAGCATTACTCGATCAATGTCCGTTAATACAAAAATGTTTAAAATCGTTTGTTGATCATATGATAGACGTTGTGGTAAAACGACTGGATAACAATCTTCAACAAGATTACACACAGTCTAAAATCGGTTATACTGGACATCATTTCAAAAAACGGAAATGTCAACAATGTAAAACAACTTTGATTGATAAAGCCATAACCAGCAGACCACCGCCAAATCCAGGTTCAATTCACGCAACCATTAGTTTGGGAAATACATTTCAAAATATCCCACAGTGTCATCCTAGTGAAAAACGTCTCGTTATCATAGGTAAGCTCAATCAAATATGTTTATCTGAATAATGTTCTTGAGCTAGCGAAGAAAAAACGGGAAATTGTTTTAGAGACAATAAATAGCTCGTAGGTGCGGACGCATTTTTCAAGAAAGTTACAAAATCATCGTATAATTTTGATGTATGACGATCATGGATTGCTTGCTATAGGTGAACCGTACACCCTAAATCCATCCTCTATCGAAAATATAACAACAATTTTACGTGATTTGAAAGAACGATGTTTGACTTCTACAAATAACGATGGTATACCGCGTAAATGGATGAGTGTTACGGCTGATGCATGTCCATATTGTTTAACTTGGAAAATTTTTAATGAAACGTTTGTTTGTCATGATTGTAATGCGAGATACTCATCGTATTCTGATTTATCCTTACATTATCACAATGGTCATCCAGAATCGATGATAAATAAGAATCGTTTCCACTATGCCGAATTTAATTCGTTGATATTTCGGCCAGGACTGGGTCATATCGAAATGAATGCTTGTAAATCATTCATGAATTTCATCTGGAACATTTTTGGGGGCGAATTAAGTAGTTGTCTCAATTTTAAATCAGAAGAAGCGAAAAAGTATGCATTATCTTGTGCTGATCGTCACAAAACATTTCAAATATTAGCTACGGCGTTGTACGGAAACATTATGGAATTAATATTTGAATATGTAACTACTGACAAATCAAAAATAAAATCTATTACTTATGAAACGTTTATAAAATGGGTTCAAAGTGCTACAACTACACCCACAATACGCCTTTTTTCACAACTTACATGTTTGTGGTTATTCACAATTTTCACGTTAAGAATAGGGATCCGTTATAATAACTCAATACTATTGAATGAATGAAAGTCGTTTTTTATTATCAATTTTATTTTTTGTTCAAAACCATCCAAAATATCAGTTTGTTATGTTAAATGATAAAATATTAAGCTGTTTAATGCCAAAAGAATTACTTCAATTTTTCGAACAGAATGATACGTTTAGCACAAGTGGTAACAGCAGACAAGGTGAAGACCTGGATTTTGTATTAGAAAATTTTAATAAAAAAATTAAACATATGATACCATATGGATTACTAGATAATGAAACCTGGATAAGGGTTAACAGAAATTTTGATGAACTTCATAAAGCAAGTTAATCTTCTTCCATTAGTATTTTATATTTTGCTTTGTGTTTAGATTCGTACAACTGCGTTCAAAAATATGAACATATGTCTCTCAACAGAATCAGCCAGAAAAAACCGAATTTAAGCAATGTTATTGACGAATGGTGTATGAAATTGCGAAAAAGCAATATACTAAAAAAGAAAGAGTTTGTTAATATGTCCGATGAACATTTACCAAAAGAATATTTAGGATTCATCCAACAAGGGCTAACAAATCAACGACTTTACTTAGAAGAATACGCAACTCAAAATTTTAACCTGGCTAATAAGAGTTGTCGCAGATTAAAGTATTTAGACAACTAAAACAGTAAATCACATCCGTTTGCCATTCTAGACGCTACACATTTCTCGCGTTTTACTAAATTAATAGCTTGATTGTTAAAAAAAAGATATATGAGTTAAACCATAGTAACAAAAACAAACGAATGAATAACAATAACGGAAAAATAATCAAATATAGTGTCTAAGTATGAGAGAGACACTTCCAAGTTATGCAATCCAATGCTTTTGCTTTTACATCAACTATATCTAAGCAAGTTGTATGTACAACTTTTGCACATTTTGGTAATGCGCAACATAAGACATCTTTGTTCTTCTTCTCGCTGCACAGTAAACATTGATTTGTTAAACGCAAATCGCTTATTTCATATTGAGCAGAGGATGATTTCTTTTCTGGACGTTTTAAAAAATTTTCAACACTAGCATTCATGTCATCAGCAGGACCATCGACATATAATTTCTCCGAATCTCGAAAAACCACTGTAGCTTCAATGGTGGTAATTTCAGAAAATTCTTGTATCTAAAAACAAAAAATATAAATGTCACTTCAAAATTATAAATGATACATAAATTACAAATGAGCTGATGCTTGTTTATAGCACTGCACACAGTTATTTTACCTTTTTAATCAATGTTTCTCGCCGACGATATTTACTTTGAGCACGTTTTGTCGAATCCTGCTTATACTCAATAGACACTTTTCCGGTATGATGTTGACGACTGGACGCCATTTTTTTTTTAAATAAACTGTGTATAAAGTATGAAAATTTAAAGTATTGAATATCGGTGTGCGTGAAATGTATAAGTTATATACGCTTAACCCTCATCCGCCCACCTATAGGACTATCACTTGTTGCCCACCTGGGGTCCGTCCGGACCCCAAGTTGATAAAACAGGTTTAAAAATCACTGTTAAGATATGGAACATTTTTAATAACATATTCGGATTCAGCCTCGAATGATGAATATTTTCAAAAAAAAACCAAACCTTCAGCATAAAATTTGTATTTTGAAATTTAATTTGAAATTTGAAAATTTAACTATTTTGAAAAGTAAAATATCTCAACTCAGGTAAGCGTTGCAGACTTTGGACAAACATCATTCGATAGACAAATAAAAATTGAACAGATGCAAGGATTTGACAATGTTTCCGTATCACGTGATCCTGGCTTCCTCTGGATTTTTCCTAAATCATGTGCGAAAAACTCAGAATTCTGCCCGTAATTCTCAATTTTCTCTATCATAACTCAACGTTTGAGCAATAAAAATGTCATATTCGGAACCAGAATCAAAAACTGAGTCGATTGATGTGTATCTCTATCCTATCTGAGCATTTTTATTTTTTTCGAGTTTTACACTGAACAGCGAGTTCACATCGCCAACGAATGGCAATGAGCAACTGATGTTATCAGCTTACTCTACTACTCTTCACTAAGGCATATCATGAAGGGCATGATTCGATCAAATGTTATGTGCATATAACATTAATTTGAAACTCGTTGGGATCCAGCTGGACCCCAGGTGGGCGGATGAGGGTTAATGTCTCTTTTTCTATACTTAAACGACGCCTCGACAGTCAGCGTCTTGTTTTTCATTTTTTAAAAACAGAATCAGACGTCAATCTATATCACTCTATCGCTTTTAGTTCAGAGAACGCTAGGAAAGATAATAATATAGGCACAAATACAGAAAAAAGATGAGAAATAAAGAATGTAATAAAGAATGTATAAAGAAATAAAGAATAACACAGGTATTTTGTTTTTTGTGATCTTTTGTTCTGTTATGCTCTTGTTATAGGTTCAAACAATTCCAAATTCGAAGAAAAGAATTTTTTAAAATCTATTCCATTACGTTCAATACATCAATTCATTGAACTTGATAAAGTTGTAAACAACATTTGATTGTGCTGTTCAATTGTTACACAAACTCGGTCATTTAGAAGAATTGTCAACTAAAGTATTTATTGATTATACTGATCGATGTCGTTTATTAATGGTCGAAAATGAAAATCATTATTTACGCAATATTTACCCAAAGTAAAAATATTTCATTTCTTTTGTCGAATAGATGCCGTATAAAAAACATTCCAGTGTGGCACTGGTAAAAATCAGTGCGCATGGCATGCCACCAGTCACGGACACTGGCTGGCACCGGCGCCCACCAAGTGCCGATATATTTCTGTCAAAAAAGTGCCGCACTGAAGATTATTTAATTAGTTTAATTAGCTTTTTGCAATTAGTTAAAATGCAAGTTTATTGTTTAATAAATCTACATTTATCACCTGAAAACGAATTTGGTCCAAAAAACCATTTCTGCGCGAAATTTTGGAAAACCCAAGATTTTATTTTGGGTTGTATTTCGAAAATGAACAGCTCAATGACTCGTTGTTTCCCTTCTATGAACTAAGAGGCGCACTACATGTCCCGGCCATTTTTACAGGGAGAAACGCCACGTCGTCCTCTTATCCACTGATCTATTATCGACTGTGATAATGAAAAATAATCTCGCTATTACATTCTCATTAACCAGTTTTAGGTTTTGAATTTCTTGCCTGAGTATATCGACAACCAAAAACAGAGAGCTGGTTTTCATAACAAGCATTTTGTAACACGTCCATACGAAACAGATAGATCCTCAAGTCGTCAACTATAAAATACACAGAGTATTACCTTCCAGTCATTTATATCATACATAGTGTATTACCTTCCAGTCCTCGAGTCGTCAACTAAAAAATACTTAGGATATTACCTTCCAGTCCTTAGGTCGTCATTTATATCACACACAGCGTAATACGTTCCAGTCCTCAAGTCGTCAACTATAAAATACATAAGTATTACCTTCCCGTTCTCAAGTCGTCAGCAGTAAAAGACATAGGGTGTTACCTTCCAGTCCTCACGTCGTCATTCATGCCATACATAGGTATTACGCTCAAGTCGTCACCTATATCATACATAGCGTAATATGTTCCAGTCCTCAAGGCATCAACTATAAAATACATAGGTGTTACCTTCCCGTCCTCAAGTCGTCAACAATGAAATACATGGGGTATTACATTCCAGTCCTCACGTCGTCATTCATGTCATAAATAGGGCATTACCTTCCAGTCCTGAAATCGTCAAAAGTAAAATACATACGGTATTTTCTTTCAGTTCTGAGTTGTTATTTATGAAATACGTAGGGTAGTAGCTTTCAGTTCTCTGATGATGAGTGATAAAATACACAGGGTATTACCTTTCTGTCCTCAGTACCCTAGCGTATTGGGATTATGACATCCCTCTTTATGATACCAAAAAAGTTTTCGAAATCTTGTTTCTATAACGAGTTATTATCAAAACATTGCGGCACGTAGCTGAACTTTATTATTTAAGTTTTGAAGTTTTGTGTATCAGAATTTTATTCTGCCGTTGTATAAAGACCTCAGGACAAATGTACAAGTAAATTTTCGTTTATTCTTTCAAACGCCATCGTTTTCGCATTGAAAGAACATGCAGATCGCCGCTGAATTGGTGGCGATCGTTATTTCATCGCCACAGGGACATACTTTGGTTTCGAATTCTTTCTTTCTTTACAACGTTTTTGCGAATCCGTGTACACTAGAAAAATCTGAAAGATATAGGTAAGAAGCATCCGAAATGTAATTAGGTGTAAGAACAGGTGCTAGTTTCGATCGAGATAAACTATAAAACGTCGTAAATGAGCCAGAAAGATCCCGCTACACATTACTGTATACGGTCTGTCCACAGGTAACGCATTCACCCATATACTCCATTAGAATCTAACATATTATAAGGCGATAGACAAATCTAATTGCGTTGTAACGAGATAAAAGATTGAAACGCAAGGCTGTAAAATTATAGAAGATTATCAGAAAATAATCCGAAGGATTATTATAACCGGAAAAATTTTCATTCTATTCATGCTCAGCTTATCGTTGATCAAGAATGCATCATTCGTTCAGTATTAGTTGGATGGCCTGGTTCTGTTCATGATGCCCGAGTGTTTGGAAATTCAACAATATACAACAAAATAAGAAATGGTGAAATATTTACACGATCTGTCGAACAAAACTTAGAAGGGCAAGAAATCCCGATGTTCTTAGTGGGTGATTCAGCGTATCCATTAACGGAACATGTGATGAAAGCGTATCGTAACATGAATCTTAATCTTGTTTTCACTTAAACAAAGCTTAAAAATACATCATTAGATGCAGCTTTTTCGGGTGGTTACGAATCTAAACTCAAAAAAATGAAAGTTAAATTTCATGATGAAAATTAAAATTTAAAAATTTTTATATTTTAAATTTAATTTCCTGACCTAGTGACCTTTTTCAAAATTCCTGAAAACTATACCATCGGATAGAAAATCGAATCCTCTACAAAGCCTCTCATTTATTTTCACGAAATAGTAGAAAAACTTTTATGTCACATGGCATTTATTGTGAAATCACAACGAAAACGAAAAATTTTCACCAAATTTGATGCATTCTCTATTGTTGACGTCTGACTGCTTTTTACACATTTTGTAAAAGCAGAACAGCATGACTTATAGCTACGATGAATTGCTCAACTTCAATGGTTTTCACAATATACAGCATGAGAAGAAAATTGAAAGAGATGAGGTCCGAAGTGAATTGTGATCGAGTTTATCACTAAACTTAGTGAAACGTCGCGATCTACTATAATGATTACTATATGCATACAGCGATTACTATATGCATACAATGATTACTATATCTACCACAAGATCCATTCACACCATACGACTTCATCACTTTTTCACATTTCTGGAAACGTTTTGTTGAGAAATATATCGTTCTCCTCTAAGGAAACGTTTCAAAATGTATTCCGGTCGGTCGGTCGCTATTCCTCTATTCCCCAATTATTCCTCTATTATAGAATTTAAATTCTAATTTATTTTATTCTATTTTGTAAAATTCGGTTTCTTTGCTTGTATTGTTGATACATACATCGGCATATATATACTTCCAACGTGTTTGTTTTTTTTAGCAGACATCTATAAGAGCAGACATTTTTCTGTTTAAAGAATAACATCAAAAAGTAACAAATTTTATATTTTCATCAAATGTTCATCTCTTTTACATTCAAAGTGCTCACTGTAAACTTATTTCGTATTGCACCAACTTCGCGAACTAACAATACGCTAATTAGAATAGACCCATTTCCATCTTTTATACTAGTTTAAAGTGCACGAGTTGTACATTATGTTGGTCTATTTTTTAGAAAAGGGTCCCTTTTAGTCTTTGAGAAATATGACTGTGAATATGGTTAATTATTGTTTAAAAAAGCAACTTTTTTCGTAAAGTCCTTTTTCTGTAAAGTGTTTCTATTGCTAAATTTTATAATATAAAAATAAATTTTCTACAATTCGACAAGCATGATTGAAGCCCATCAGTGCTTGTCTTACAGTACTAATTGAAGTCAAGCGTCTTGACTTGTTACATGCCTGAATACGCTCGAAACAAACAGTTAAGGACCAAAATTTATTTCCTAAATGTTCCATATGTTTCTGATATCCACAAAAATTTTCAGTTTTTCAGATCGTTCCGTTTCTGAGTTCATGAATTTTAAAATTTTCCAATAGTTTACCCTTGGATACACTCATAATGAAAGAGCTTTAAAATCGTTGATCCTTTACCCAACCTATTGAAAATTTCAGAATTGAGATAGCCTTGAGGTCTTGTTTCTATCGCGAATTATAGGTATTCCAGAGACTTCCTCAAAAACCTGAATTACGCGACACCAAAGCAACAGTATTTCAACTAATCCAGCGTGAGAGTTGGTCGAAACTATCTCAGTTCCGAAATTCAACGTTTTACAGCCATTTCATTATGAGTGTATCCAAGGATGAACCTTTGGAAATTCAATAACTCATGAAAGGAACGACCTGGAAAACTGAAACTTCGATGAATTAGGAAAACAAATTTGAGCCCTTAGCTGTTCTTTTTGAGCGTATTATAAAAATTTTACTTTTTCCGCATTTCTTAAGCAACATATAAATCACTGAAATGGAGTGTATCACCTGGGAAAGGAACACTCGTTAGCGTAAGCCCTTTTTTCGTTTTTTTGTAA